CTGGCGGTGCTAGCGGAGTTGGAGCTGCCGACTCTGGGGGTGCTCTTCCTAGCGGTGCTGCGGACCCTGGGGGTGGCGCTACTGCTGGTGCTGCGGACCCACCTGGTGGAGCTGCTGCTGGAGCTGAGGACCCGAGCGGTGGCGCTGCTGCTGGTGCTGGGGACCCGGACGTTGGAGCTCCTGCTGGTACTGAGGACCCGGCCGCTGGAGTCTCTTCTGCTTCTGGAGACGCTGCGCGGCCGCGACCGTACTTCGTACCACTCCTTCAGCAGGTTCTTGGGCAGGCTCCTCCTCCTTGTCCTCCTCCCTCTGTAGAGTGTCCTCCGCCTGTCCAGCCGCAGTCACAGTTACCGCCTACCTCGCCTCTCCCTGCTCCCTCTCCTTACACTGGTCCCACAGGAGGTCTTACAGAGCGTCGTGAGCCTGAGTCTCGTCCTGCGTCGCCTGTTCGTCCTGCTCGCGCTGGTAGTCGTGTCCGTCGTGAGCGTCCTCCTCCTGTCCCAGGCACTCATTACATGACTCTGCGTCCCTCTACTGCTCCTCGGCGTGTCCCTCTACCGTCTCCTCCTGCGTCCTCTTTGCCTGCCGTTCCGGACCCTGAGTCTGACCGGTATCGCGCTGAGCACCCTACTGTCACGCGTCTCCTAGCTACTGTTGTCACTGACCCTACCTTTGAGTCCTCGGCTGCGTCTGCTCTGATCGCTGAGTTGGTTGACTTTGCTGCTGCCTGTCGTCTAGACTACGCTGCTAGCCTTGTTGCTGAGTCTGAGTCTGCGTCTGTCTGTCCTCCGTCCGTCGGGGGTGAGTGTGCTCTTGGCACAGACGTCCTTGAGGACAGGCAGGAGGACTTTGACTCTCTTGCGGCTGCTGTACCTCATCTCGTGGCCTGGTTGCTTGCCCCTGAGGGAGACCCGGATGCACTAGACATCCCCACTCCGCGCACTTACGCAGAGGCGATCTCGGGTCCCTACTCCTCTCAGTGGCAGACAGCCATGGACGCAGAGATGGCATCCTGGAAGTCCACAGGCACCTACGTCGACGAGGTTCCCCCTCCTGGGGCGAACATCGTCGATGGCATGTGGATTTTCAGGGTGAAGCGGCCGCCAGGTTCTCCGCCTGTCTTCAAGGCTCGTTACGTTGCTAGAGGCTTCAGTCAGCGTCAGGGGGTCGACTTCTTCCAGACCTTCTCCCCCACCCCGAAGATGACCACTCTTCGGGTTCTGCTGCACGTTGCTGCTCAGCGTGACTACGAGCTTCACTCTCTTGACTTCAGCACAGCGTTCCTGCAGGGCAGCCTGCACGAGGAGATCTGGCTGCGCCGCCCACCTGGCTTTACTGGGTCGTTTCCCCCTGGTACCCAGTGGAGCCTCCGCCGGCCAGTCTACGGTCTCCGCCAGGCGCCACGTGAGTGGCACGACACACTGAGGACTACACTTGCGGCTCTTGGGTTCGCGCCGTCTACTGCTGACCCGTCGCTGTTTCTGCGCACAGACACGTCGCTGCCGCCGTTCTACATTCTTGTGTACGTCGACGACTTGGTCTTTGCTACTGCTGACACTGAGGCACTCGCTCGTGTGAAGTCGGAGCTGCAGAAGAGACACACCTGCACTGACCTGGGTGAACTGCGTAGCTACCTTGGCTTGCAGATCACCCGGGACAGAGCTCGCCGCACCATCACCCTGACTCAGTCACACATGGTGCAGCAGGTCCTTCAGCGCTTCGGCTTCCAGTTCTCCTCACCACAGGCCACACCTCTGGCTACCAGCCACTCGCTCTCAGCTCCACCTTCGGACGAGTCCGTAGAGCCGAGTGGCCCGTACCCAGAGCTTGTAGGCTGCCTCATGTACCTGATGACTTGCACGCGACCTGACCTCGCGTACCCTCTTAGCATCCTTGCTCGTTACGTTGCGCCTGGGAGACACAGGCGAGAGCACTGGGAGGCTGCTAAGAGGGTGCTGCGTTACTTGTGCAGTACATCAGGCATGGGGCTGGTGCTTGGAGGACGCGACAGAGTTGTCCTCACTGGTCACTCGGACGCTTCTTGGGTGGACGACCTGGCTACGCAGCGGTCGTCACAGGGTTACACCTTCAGCCTTGGCTCTGGTTCTGTCTCGTGGCGGTCCACCCGCTCTTCCTCTGTTCTCGGCTCTAGTTGTGAGGCTGAGATCTACGCCACAGCCATGGCTGCACAGGAGTTACGCTGGCTCACCTACCTGCTGACTGACTTGGGAGAGCGGCCTAGTTCTCCTCCAGTTCTGTACGGTGACAACAAGGCGGCTCTTGCCTTGTGTCAGGAGCACAGACTGGAGCACAGGACGAAGCACATTGCTCTTCGCTACTTTCTTGCTCGAGAGCTTCAGCAGCGCGGTCAGCTTCGGCTTGTGTACGTGGACTCGAAGGCCAACACTGCTGATATCTTCACCAAGGCGCTCCCGCCTAGTGATCATCAGCGGCACTGTACTTCTTTAGGCCTTGTGTCCACGTTTCCTCACTTGCTCACTGCTTGACATTCTTTGTACTGTACTTTATATATATCTTGTTGCTTGCTTGCTAGGTTTTGATCACTGTGTTGCTTGTCTTATACTATATCTAGCACTGCATGTGAACTGGCCTTGTGGCCTTTGCTTGTGCTCGGAGTGTGGTGACGTTGTGATCCACCCTGGGCTTGCGTTGCTTTGCTGGACTGGTCTTGTGACCCTTTGTTCTCCCCCACTTTGCCTATGGGGGTGTGTTAAAGTGTAATGTGTTATATGTTGGTAGGCTGTAGTGGGGTAGCCAATATGGGGTACAACCCCAACTAGGGTTTGCTACTTGTACCCAACTGTTCCATTCAATGCATTCATTCTTGCCTAGTTATTCTGACATGGTATCATGAGCTATTGGCTCACGCCTTAATCCCTCGATCCTAAGGCCACCCTCTCCTCCCCGTCCCTCAGACCTAGTCCTACTACGGTGCTCCCAAGCTCAGATCTACTCCTCTCGAGCTCCGATCTACTCCTCCCGAGCTCACATCTACTCCTCCCGAGCTCAGATCTACTCCTCCCGAGCTCACATCTACTCCTCCCGAGCTCACATCTACTCCTCCCGAGCTCAGATCTACTCCTCCCGAGCTCAGATCTACTCCTCCCGAGCTCACATCTACTCCTCCCGAGCTCAGATCTACTCCTCCCGAGCTCACATCTATTCCTCCCCGTTCCTCAGATCTAGCCCCACCCACGGAGCTGCCCTCCCTTCACGCACCCTTAAGGCGCTGTCCTCCCTCCCCGTGCGCCCCCTAAGGCGCTGCCCTCCAAGGCACGTCCAGATCTGCAACTCTTGCGCCCAGATCTGCATTCCCCGCGCTCAGATCTGCAACTCCAGCGCCCAGATCTGCATTCCCCGCGCTCAGATCTGCAACTCCAGCGCCCAGATCTGCACTCCCTGCGACCAGATCTACTCCTCCCGCGCCTAGATCTGATCATTCCGCGCCCAGATCTGGATTCCGCGCCACCAGATCTCCTCCTCCCGCGCCCAGATCTGAACATTTCGCACCCAGATCTGCACTCCGCCCGCCCAGATCTGCCCTCCGCACGTCCAGATCTGCACCCCGCGCGCCCAGATCTGCACTCCGCGCGCCCAGATCTGCCCTCCGCGCGCCCAGATCTGCCCTTCGCGCGACCAGATCTGCATCTCCCGCGCTGAAATCTGACCATTTCGCGCCCATCTCTGCTCGTCCGCGCCCTGCCCGTCCGCACGCCCTGCTCGTCCGCGCCCTGCCCGTCCGCACGCCCTGCTCGTCCGCGCCCTGCCCGTCCGCACGCCCTGCTCGTCCGCGCCCTGCCCGTCCGCGCGCTCTGCTCGTCCGCGCCCTGCCCGTCCGCACGCCCTGCTCGTCCGCGCCCTGCCCGTCCGCACGCCCTGCTCGTCCGCGCCCTGCCCGTCCGCACGCCCTGCTCGTCCGCGCCCTGCCCGTCCGCACGCCCTGCTCGTCCGCGCCGTGCCCGTCCGCGCGCTCTGCTCATCCGCCCTTCGCGTCCACACGCCCTGCTCGTCCGCGCCCTGCCCGTCCGCGCGCTCTGCTCGTCCGCGCCCTGCCCGTCCGCACGCCCTGCTCGTCCGCGCCCTGCCCGTCCGCACGCCCTGCTCGTCCGCGCCCTGCCCGTCCGCACGCCCTGCTCGTCCGCGCCCTGCCCGTCCGCACGCCCTGCTCGTCCGCGCCCTGCCCGTCCGCACGCCCTGCTCGTCCGCGCCCTGCCCGTCCGCGCGCTCTGCTCGTCCGCGCCCTGCCCATCCGTGCGCTCTGCTCGTCCGTCCTTCACGTCCACACTCTCCCCGTCCGCGCACTCATCGCACGCCCTCCTTCCCCGCTCGCTGTCCCCCCTCCCCTCGTCCGCCCCCTGCCCGCCTCCCCGGCATACCGCACATTTGCAAACGCATACCGCACACCTTCATGCCGTGCTCACCTGCGCCATGCCGTAACCGCCCACACTCACATTGCTCCCTCCATGGCAACAGTCGCCCTGGCATGCAGCAGCAGTGGTACCGGTGGGCATGGAGGAGGGCATAGTGGTAGCTGTGGTGGTGGTCAAGGGAGACTCGCAGGATATTGTGGTATCAGGGGTTTGAGCGCAGGCTGCGGCGCAGCAGCAGCCTTCTCTCCTCGTGAATATGTGCCTCGCTATGGCCCGATTTGGGGACTTCAGTGCAAAATCTCCACCCAAGCCCACCATGCCCCGAGTCCACCCTTCTCTCCTCCTCCTCCTCAGCAGCAGCAGCAGCAGCAGCAGCAGCACCAGCACCAGCAGCACCAGCAGCAGCAGCAGCAGCACCAGCAGCTCTGGCACCTCCTCCTCCAGCTCCAGCAGTTGCTTCACCGCCTGCAGCAGCATCTTAGCCTACAAGTACAGTTGCCTCTTCCTCCTCCTCCCCCAACTTCCCAGCAGAATTCTGTTCCGCATTGTTCCACAAGCTCCGCCACTTCAAGCAATGTCCCACCTCTCTCATCCGTTGGTATTGCTGGTATGGTCAATCAAGCCACATCAGCTGCCCCTGCCACATACTCCTCTAGCACTACCAAAACTGCGTTCCAGTCCTCTGTCCCTTCCTCCTCCCTCCCCTCCACTGTCGACTTTGTCCTTGACAGCGGCGCCACTGACACAGTTCTTCGCGATGCTGGCACCTTGCGCCCCCTCCCAACGCCTACCTCCCTCCTTGGCGCCGATAGCAGCTTCTCTATCCCCTGCCATAACACCTCGACTCTCCCCTGCCCACTCTTCCCCTCAGGCACTGTCACCGGTCTCCACATACCCTCTCTTCGCGCTAATCTCCTCTCGCAAAGGTCCCTTCAACAAGCCGGTATCACCACAGTATTCCCAGCTTATGCTAACTATTGCGCTCTCTACCATTCCGCCACCGGTCAGTTCATTTCTCGCATTCCATTTTGCCCTCGCTCTCGTCTGTACACCCTTCGGGTTCCTCGCCTCCCCTCCTGTCAGGTCATCTCTCGTCCTCCCCTCCACCCTCTCATCCCACCCCCTCCTCTCCCTCCCACTAACCCGGACCTTCCTTCACGCCCCCCCCCTGACTCCTCTTGCTCCTGTCGCTCCCTCTCCCACCCTGCCGTCCTCCTCCATCACAGGCTAGGTCACCCTAACTTCGCTACTCTACGCTCCTCTGTATCCTCCGGTCTCCTCCACGGTCTCCCCTCCTCCCTCCCTCCCCTCCCCAAATCCCCTGCCCCCCCTTGCACCATCTGCGTTCAGAGCAAGCTCAAGCAGCAGCCGCACCGGAGCTCCCCCTCCGCTGCTGCTCAGCCACTTGATCTTGTTCACATGGACCTCTGGGGCCCCAATCCCTCTCCCACTCGCCAGGGCCATCGATACCTCCTCGTACTCGTCGATGATCACAGTCGGTACTCGTCCGTCTCTCTCCTTCGGACGAAGGCAGATGCCCCGGCTGCGATCATCGCCTGGCTCGAGCGAGCAAACACCCATTTTGGGCGCCCTGTTCGCCGCCTTCACTCTGATGGTGGTGGTGAGTTCCTTAACAACCAAATATCCTCCTATTGCCAGTCTCATGGCATTCTTCAGACTTACACCCTCCCTCACTCCCCACAGCAGAACGGTGTGGCTGAAAGTCGTGTTCGAGAGATCACCAAAACTGCCCGGTGTCTCCTTGTCCACGCCTCCTGCCCTCCTTCTCTGTGGGGCTACGCCCTCCTTCATGCCGCCCTGCTTACTAACCTTTACCCTCACCCTCTTCTCCCATCCACCACCCCCACTGAGCTGTGGACGAACAACAAGCCTGATGTCTCATCTCTTCGTGTCTGGGGCTCAAAGGCTTATGTCCTTCTTCACCCCGCTGACCGCTCCCGTTCTATGGGAAAGCTTGCCCCTCGTACCCTTCCCTGCATCTTTCTTGGTCATAACTCCTCCTCACCTGACTACCTTTTCCTCCATCCCCCCTCGGGTCGTCTATTCCGCAGTAGGGATGTGGTCTTTGATGAGTCCACTCCTTACTACTCCTCTCCCCCATCCACTGACCCACTCCCCCGTCTTCCCCGTCCCCTTGTCTGGTCTGACACCACCCCTCCCCCTCTACTTCCTCCTCCCCCCATCCTCCCTCCCCCTCCCCCACCGTCGTCCTCGTCCCACGGTGCCCCTCCCTCGTCTGGTGATATATTTGACCCGGAACCTCTGTCCTCTCCCGTCTCCCCCACACATTCCTCTCCCGCCCCCCCTTCGCCTCCCTCGCTGCCGACTCGTCCTTCCCCCCCTCCCCGCACTGTACTAACCCGGTACCCCCATACCAGGTCACGTGACAGTATCCTTGGTGCACCGCCCCCTGTTACCCTCTCTACCTCTACCCTCCCCCCACTCTCCCCTCTCCTTCATAACTTCTTCCAGGCTGTTCTGCATCAACCTCCCCCTGCAGCAGCCCCCGCCGCCACCTCTCCAGCAGCGGCGCCAGCAGCAGCACCAGCAGCACGACCAGCAGCGGCACCAGCAGCAGGACCAGCAGCGGCACCAGCAGCAGGACCAGCAGCGGCACCAGCAGCGTCACCAAAAGCGGCACCAGCATCAGGTTCAGCAGCGGCACCAGCAGCAGGACCAGCAGCGGCACCAGCAGCAGGACCAGCAGCGGCACCAGCAGCGGCACCAGCAGCAGCACCAGCAGCGGCACGTGCAGCGGCACCAACGGTCATCCGCTCCTTCCACACCTCCCTCTCTGAGGACTCCCATGAGGAGTTCCTTGACCTCCACCTCTGTGACCCTTCCCTTCTACCCATCACCTTCGACCTTTCTGGGACACCTGTCTTCGCATTCTCCTCTGCTCCCTCCGTTTTCATCCCTACCACGTATGAGGAGGCCATGGCTTGCCCCGACGCCCCACTCTGGCTCGCCGCCATTATCAAGGAGCTGGAGGCCTTTGTCGCCAACTCCTCCTTTGTTGATGTGCCTCGCCCTCCCTCCTCTACGAACGTGGTGAAGGGGAAGTGGGTGTTTCGCGTCAAACAACTGCCAGGGGAGCCGCCCGTCTACAAGGCTCGTTACTGCGCCAAGGGGTTCACGCAGCGGTATGGTTTTGACTTCTTCGATACCTTCTCCCCCACTGCCAAGCCCGCTACTGTTCGCGCCGTGCTCGACCTCGCCGCTCGCCTCAATATGGAGATCCACTCGATGGACGTCTCTAACGCCTTCCTCCAAGGCGTCCTCCGCGAGCTTATCTACATGGAGCGTCCTGCCGGTTTTCACCTTCCCTTCCCTGCGGACTCTGTCTGGCAGCTGCGTCGCCCTGTGTATGGGCTCCGACAGGCCCCGAGGGAGTGGCATGCTAAGCTTGCCGCCACTCTTCCTTGGACCTTGGGTTCCGCACCTCCCGCTCTGACGCCAGCCTCTTCCTCCGCGCCTCCCCCTCCCCCTTCTACATCCTTGTCTATGTCGATGACATGATTCTGCTCACTGCCGACCTCAGCGAGTTGGAGCGTGTTAAGGCTGAGTTGGGCAGCCGTCTCAAGTGCAAGGACTTGGGCGAATTGCAGCATTACCTGGGCATGACAATCACCCGCGATCGCTCCGCCCGCACCATCTCTCTCTCCCAGGGTCATTACTTGCAGCAGGTCTTGGAGCGGTTTGACATGGTCCGCGGCGGCGCCCAACCTACTCCTCTTTCTGTCGGGCACCACCTCTCTCCACCCACCTCCCCCTCAGCCTCCTCCCATCCTTATCCCGAGCTCATCGGCTCCCTCATGTACGCCATGGTCTCCACTCGCCCTGACCTTGCCTACCCCATCAGCGTCCTCGCTCGTTTTGTTGGCGCAGGCAAGCATACGGAAGAGCACTGGCAGGCCGCCAAGCGTGTCCTCCGGTACCTTCGTGGCACCAAGGACTATGTCCTTACCCTCGGCGGCCCCTCCCCACCTACCCTCAGCGGCTACAGTGACTCCTCCTGGGCTGATTCCCAGCCAGATCGTCGCTCCTCCCAGGGCTATGGCTTCTCTCTTGGCAGCGGCCTTATCAGCTGGCGCTCCACCCGCTCCTCGGCTGTCGCCCTCTCCTCCTGCGAGGCGGAGTTGTATGCCGCCACCATGGCTGCGCAAGAGGCCCGCTGGCTCACCTTCCTCCTTGAGGAACTTGGTGCCCCCCAGCGCTGTCCCACCATTTGGTGTGACAATGCCAGTACCATTCACCTCACCAAAGATGCCGTGTTTCACGGGCGTTCCAAGCACATTGAGCTCCGTCATTTCTTCATTCGCGATCTTGTTCAGGCGGGGCACCTTCGGCTCGACAAGGTTGACTCGGCGGCCAACCTTGCCGACATCTTCACTAAAGGTTTTCCTCATGTCGCTCACTCTTTCCTACTTCGTCTTCTTGGCCTCACTCCTCCTAAGTCGCCTCCCGCCTCTTGATTCTAGCCTTCTAGCCTTATGCATGTTGGGGGGTTGTGTTGTAATTTCATAATTTATACAACATCCTTAGGCTAGAATTAGATCTGTAGTACACTTATAAATTGGGGGGTTGTTTAGTGTACCCTCCAACCACATTTTGTGGTTGGTTGGGATTGGTCCTTAGCTCAACCAATCCCAACCAACACACATTTGTGGTTGCTTGGGTCACAAGCAAGCTCACCCATTGGCCAACTTATTGGCCAATAGGGTAAGCTTCCCTTTCATCTCTCTCTTGCTCATTGTTTGTACTAAAGGGCCTCTTGGCTCATTATTCAATGTATCTCTTCTAGCTTTTCAACAGAGGTTTCAAGTCGAAAGGTATGAGGAGAGGGATCAAGGTGGAGTGCAGGAGGGGAACACACTCACCATGCCACTTCATCCATGCAAACATGTCAGAGGTCCACTGGTGATCCCCGATTGATCCTAGGGAAGGGTTACAGGCATGGCGGCCTGGGGGGTTATGGGCGCACTCACCCGCTACACAAACAAGCCCTTTTATCCCAGTGGTTAGTGGCTGGGATTCTGACATGGTATCAGAGCGAAGGTCTCGGGTTCGAATCCCGGTGTATGCACCTCGGGCATCCCAGTGCGGGGGGGTGTCAGAGGTCCACTGGTGATCCCCGATTGATCCTAGGGAAGGGTTACAGGCATGGCGGCCTGGGGGGTTATGGGCGCACTCACCCGCTACACAAACAAGCCCTTTTATCCCAGTGGTTAGTGGCTGGGATTCTGACAAAACATCCGTCCTATCCCATTCCATACATGCACACACCCATCCATGCCTCAGCAATATGTGCTTGCTTACGTGCCGCTGAAGATGCAAGGATGTGAAAGTTGAAGCATTGCATGCATTAGAAAGTTGCCGCCTACATTGGAAATCAATGTTGAAGGCCCTCACAGGAGCGCTCATAACGCTTGAAGCGCTTCACAAGCCCCACTGCACTTGCCTGCGCGTCCCACTGCACGTGTCTGCGCGCCCCACTGCACCTTCCAACTTGCCCATCCAGATCTCCAACTCACTGCACTTGCATAGCACTTGCCTGCGTGAGGTTGGAGATCTGGATGTTCAAGTGCCGCATGCACTCCTGCACCTGCTCCCCCCGCACTTCCCACCCTGCTCAGGGGGAGAAGTGCATGATCATGGTGGGAGGAGGAACATGTAACAACCGTGCAATTTCAACCATGTAGCATGGGTGGCATACTCTTTAAGTCATTCCCGTATGAACAGCACCCTTACCATTGAGAAGCCTGCGATTTTGAATGGTGATCCAACCTTTGTGTGACATGTGTTTGAGTTGACTCAAAAGACATACCATTGAGCAGCCAGTCGGTGCGGTTCTCAATGGAGATCCTGCGAGTGACGTGCACCTCCTCCCCCGCCACGTCCCCCCGCAGCACGATGTTGATCTCTGCACTGCGCTCCCTCCCCTGCACAAACTCCCCCAAGCGCACCACCCGCCCCAGCATCTGCCATCCAGAAAAAAGAGAAGAAGGAAAGGAGAAAACAGGGGTGTGGGATTGGCTGGGAGTGGGTGACTTTATAAAAAAAAAAGTAGCCATTAGCGCCCTGCAAGAATACCGTCTTGAAGAGTCCTTCCCGCTTACCAGTGTTGAGTCGCATCTGCTTCTTGAAATGCGTCTGAAGCATTCTGCTTGCAACTACCAGTCACTTCCATCGGAGGAAGAGGAGGGCGGGGAAAACGAGTACCTTGGGCTCTCCGCCCAGCCCCAGGCCGATGGCGCAGACGAGGGAGCTCTTGCCCTCTGTGCGCCCCCAATCCCGCACTGATGCAGCTCACCTTGGGCTCTCCGCCCAGCCCCAGGCCGATGGCGCAGACGAGGGAGCTCTTGCCGGAGCCGTTGGGCCCGACGATGAGGTTAAGGCGCGGCGAGGGGCATGCTTAGATGGACGCGTACGTCATGAAGTGCTGCACCTGCAGCCTCGGCATACATTCGTCTGACTCGTAACCGTCAGCCTCGGCATGATAGTCCATGCTGCTTTCAACAACTTTTTCCTTGCCCTTGCTTAGACGTCTTGCGCGAGAGAGACTTTCCTGCTCCGCCACATCAGCAGGTTCTGCATCTTCTTCACGTTCGGCCCGTTCCCGAGCACAAGGCTGCGTGCTCGGTCCAGCAGCCTGCCAATCCTGAATGCATTCGTCTGACTCGGCACAATACTTCATGCTGCTTTCAACCACTTTTTCTTTGCCCTTGCTGAGACGCATCATGGCGCGAGCGATACGTTCCTCCTCCGCCACGTCGGCAGCCTCCGAATCCACCATTCCAGCTTGGCGTCTCGCCGCCACGTCAACTTCCAGGTCAACCGGCGAGCTCGAAGATCGCTCTCGATGCAACACGTGAGCGGGCTGTTGCGAAGCGGAAGCATCGGCGCTGTTCGCGCCTCCCTTCCCTAGCTGCTTACTCCGACGAGTCCCGCTTCCATCTGAGCCATTCATCTCCGCACGACGGCCATCCAGCCGTCCACGCGTAGTACTTCGCAGTTCGCCGCCGTCGCCGCTGTCCTTCGCGTATTCTCTCTGCGCGGGTCGTCCTACCTCCGCGGCTACCTCCGTAACCACCTCTTCAACCTCCGCAGCTAGATTCTCAACCTCCGCGGCTACCTCCTCAACCTCAACCTCCGCAACCTCTGCAACCTCCGCTAGTACCCCCCCTATCCATGCGGCTACCTCCTGCACCTCCGGCGAGTCGTCTCGATCCAGCTCCTCCCGCACTCTCGCCGACCGGGTCACGCGCATCGCCGGATCGCGTGAACGACTGGCGCGCTTCCGCCTCGGCGCCATGAATGTCGACCCTTGTATGACTCTTGCGACGGGTTAGAGTTTGACACAGTTGGATTTCTACGACATTACCGACTTGGACCTGAGGGTGCAAAGAGGAGCCTGAGCCTAAGCAGCAGACAGACATGTTCGCTCCCAGGTTCCTAGCCAAGCAGACTGACGACGAAAAGAGAAGCAATGACATTGAGGTCTCTGGTGCATAATGCATTGCAAGGACACTTGGCGACTAGTCCTCCATGCATGTTAGAAACATGTAGGAACATGCTAGCAACTATCTAGAGAATGTAACTTTTCACCGTTAAAAAGAATAACGTTCAACAAAATCAGGCACAAATATATTATCGTAGAAAAATAAATGTCGTCGTTTCTATGTCCCCGTCCAGCTATCCAATCTAGGGCCGATCCACAAATTTGTTGCTCTTTTTATTTTGAGCCTGGAAATTTCAAGTTTTTGCGATAGAGGCTTGTATTTGCTCGGCTCAGTAACAATAGCGTAACCAATCCATCTTCGATCCACGTAGTAAATATGCGGCATATCGAGATTTTACCGAATCGGGTTTCACGTGTACGGAGTTGAAGAATATGTTCATCGTGAAAATCCACTATCAATCAGTCGGACTACCTCGTTGGCTCAGGTCAAAGTGCACAGTACGTCCCCTGAGATGCATGTACCTGTCAACGTACACTTATATGTTTTGTGTGTATACTTATAGGCTAGGATTGCACCATAGACGGTATGAGATTGCTAGCGCCCACAGCCCGCCAGCCAGCCGCAGCACATAGCGCACACTAGCAGCCAGCCGAACATCAGCCGCTCGCGCGCGCAGTAGCGCATCGCCAGCAGCTCTCGCACAAGCACGCTACCCTGCCGCCAGCGCGCACCAGCCGCCAACGCATGCCAGCCGTTAGTGCGCGCGGCAGCAGCAGGCACCTGCGCGCGTGCTCTGCCAGCAACGCACGCCTCGCCAGCGCGAGCCCCGCCTGCTAGCAGCGCAGCCCGCTAGCCAACTGCAAGCGCTAGCAGCACGCGCCACCAGGCCGCGCCCCGCCAGCCAGCCTGCGCGCACTGCTAGCTCACATCCCGCAAGCCAACTCACACCCCGCTAGCAGCTCGCCCCGCTTGTCTGCTAGCCGCCACCTCCTCCGCTAATGCTTGACTCACGCAACATTCCCTCCGCTAGCGGCACATTGAGCAGCGATTTGAAGCCGCACTATCATTTCCTTGGTGCCAATTAGGGTTTCGAGCAGCTCCTAACTATCATTCCTAGCCTGCCACTCCTAGCCTACTGGTCATGCTTGGCATTCCTAGGCACCGTTCCTAGCCTGGTACTCCTAGTCTGCCGTTCTTAGCCTGGCATTCGTAGCCAGCCGTGCCCAGCCGGTCCTAGCCATTCCTATCCAGTCCTCGCGGTTCCTAGTCGTTCCTGCCTATCAGTTCCGCGTCTGTTTCATTCGCCATGACATCCTCCAGGGTTTTGCGTTGCGACTCAGAAGGTCGAGTGTTAGAGTTTAGCACGTGGCTCCTCAAGTCCATCTAAACCTTAGTAGCCAGCGTAAGGACGGCGACACTTTGTTCGCCCACACGTCTAGTGACCTGCCCGCCCCTTAGCGCCTTGCCCCTCTCTCTACCGAGCCCACTGGGACAAAGTGGGAAGCGCTTGATGGGCGGTGCTTGGAGTACTCGATTTGAGATTCTCACGACGCTGTTGCTCGTCTCGCTCTGACAAGCCTTCTTTTGCCGACAAAGGCTGCCGATTTCCTTCAGGTTACGTCTATGAAGGAGCGTTATGACGCTATCGTTTCTCGTTATTCCAATCCTTCCTCTGCCTCCCTCGGCCGCCTCCTCATGCCGTTCTTGTTCCACGACCTTGGTGCGTTTGACACTAATGCTGACCTAGTCACTCAGCTGCGCTCACTTGACGCTAGCTATCGTGCTGCCAGCTCCACTGCCTAACTTGCTCTCGCCACCCTCTATTTTATCGTGACTTGCCTCCCTGATCACCTCTCGTCTGCACGAGACGTGCTTCTTCGGAATTCTCTTTAAGTCCATGGCCTCTTCTGCAGCCATGGACTTAGAGATGGCATCTTGAAGGTCCACAGGCACGTACGTCGATGCAATTCCCCATTTTAGTGTGAACGTTGTCGATCCAGGTGAAGCGGCTACCTGGATCGCCGCATGTCTTCAAGGCGCACTACGTGGCGAGGGGATTTTAGTCAGTATAAGCGAGTAGACTTTTTAAATGCCATCTCCCCTATCTAAAAGATGGCCTATCTTCACAACTGTTGTAGTCCAAGCACAGCGAGACTAGGAGCTGCACTCGCTAGACATTTTCACTACGAGCCATTCGTTATTACCTGAACTTGCTTATTTCCATTTTATAATTGCATTTATGTGTTTTTTTCCTATATTTTTTTCTTTACTATAGTTAATATACTTTAGCACAGAATATGATCACGTGCACCAGGTTACTAAAGTTTTGGTTGACGAGGGAAGGCCCCGCCCTCACTTGGGCGAAGCCGACTTCAATGTCCGACTTCCAAGGTGCGCAGCCAGCTAGGCTTCATGGTCGACACCGACTTGAAGGAGTAAATCGGCTTGGTTGGGCGACCGTAGTAAAACGACACAATAACGTTTGAGAAAGCTAACCGTAGGAGTAAAGGTTTGATTACCCTGATGGTTAACTAACACAAGTCACTCTGATAATTAAAGTAGCCAGAAAACCTTCACTGCTATTCATGGGTAACGAAAAATGATAAGTAAGCCCTGTTCGAAACTCAAACGGACGGTCCATCAGTCCTTGCTAGAGATGTCAGAATCTAACGAGCAAGAAAAATGAGTTCACTAGCAAGGCATGAGAGTACAAGTTGTTAAACTGTAGTATGCTTGTAGGCTGTAGTGGGGTAGCCAATATGGGGTACAACCCCAACTAGGGTTTCATATTTGTACCCAAACTTCTGCTAGTTCATTCATTCTTGGCTAGTTATTCTGACATGGTATTCAGAGCAGGAGGTCCCTAGGACCTACCGACCGTTTTTTTTAGGGCCCACCACCGCTCGCATGCGGTTACCACGCTACCCCGTGCCCTAGCCTCGTAGCGCCCTCGTGCGCCCTCGTTAGCGCCCTCGCGCGCCCCTCGTTAGCGCCCTCGCGCGCACCCTCGTTAGCGCCCTCGCGCGCCTCTCGTTAGCGCCCTCGCGCGCCCCTTGCTAGCGCCCTCGCGCGCCCCTCACTAGCGCCCTCGCGCGCCCCTTGCAGTGTCGCCCGCCCGCCGAGCCGCCCGCTCGCAGCCCGCTCGTCCCGCTGCCCGCTTCGCAGCCCGCCCGCCCGCTCGCTGCCCGCTTCGCGGCCCGCCCGCTCGCTGCCCGCTTCGCGGCCCGCCCGCTTCGCAGCCCGCTCGCCCCGCTGCCCGCTTCGCAGCCCGCCCGCCCGCTCGCTGCCCGCTTCGCGGCCCGCCCGCTTCGCAGCCCGCCCGCCCGCTCGCTGCCCGCTTCGCGGCCCGCCCGCTTCGCAGCCCGCTCGCCCCGCTGCCCGCTTCGCAGCCCGCCCGCCCGCTCGCTGCCCGCTTCGCGGCCCGCCCGCTTCGCAGCCCGCCCGCCCGCTCGCTGCCCGCTTCGCGGCCCGCCCGCTTCGCAGCCCGCTCGCCCCGCTGCCCGCTTCGCAGCCCGCCCGCCCGCTCGCTGCCCACTTCGCGGCCCGCCCGCTTCGCTGCCCGCTCGCAGCGCCGCCCCCCCGCCCGCTACCTGATTCGCAGTGTCGCCCGCTCGCCCGCTGCCCGCTTCGCAGCGTCGCCCGCTCACTTGCAGCCCGCCCGCCGCACTTCCCGCCTGCAGCGCCGCCCGCCTCGCCTGCTGCTCCCTGCCTGTGCACCGCCGCTTGCTCCTGCTGTGGCTGCTAGCTTCGCTCTAGCGCGTCCCCTCTGCTGCTGCCGCTGCTCTGCTGTGCCCTCACGCCTGAGCTATGGCCTCTATTCGTGTTCTTTCCTTCGATGCTGAGGGCCGTCCCGTGCAGTTCACTTCCTGGCTCGACGACCTGCAGTTGTACCTTATGAGCAATAGCACGGACCACATCTCCCTCTATGACTACGCGTCTGGTGCTGCCGCTGCTCCTGCTGCCACAGCCGAGCTTAGTGTTCGTTCCCACTGGCAGACTCGTGACGCAGCTGCTCGCCTAGCCATTCGCAGTCACCTGCCGCTAGCTGAGCTCGAGCATTTTGGCGACTGCAAATCCGCTAAGGCCCTGTACGATGCTGTCGTTGCTTGCTACTCCTCGCCTGCCACAGCCGAGCTTAGCCACCTCATGCTGCCGTACCTGTTCCCCGATCTGTCCACCTTTGCTACAGTCGCCGATCTTATCACCCACCTTCGCACTAGTGATGCTCGCCTGCGTGCCGCCCTTCCCACCGAGTTCTGCGCTAAGAACCCCCCTCCACTGTACTGGACACTCCACTTCATAGTCACCCGTCTCCCTGACACCCTCAGCTCAGTTCGAGACCACTTCCTTGCTCGCTGTCCCACTGAGCTCACAGTCACCCTCCTAGAGGAGCAGCTGCTCGCGGCCGAAAAGAGCATTGTAGCTGTCGGTGCTGCTCGTGGCGCTCCTCGCACCCCCATCTTTGAGGGGTGTTCTCCCTCTCCCCTCGCTCCCTCCTACGCTGCTGCTGCTGCTGTTGACTTCCTTGGTGCTGAGTCTGTTGGCGCTGCTTCTGCTCCTGGTGGGAGGCGCCGCACCGGCAAGGGCAAGGGGGGCAAGGGTGCCGGGGGTGGCACTGGTGGGGGAGGGGGTGGGGGAGGTGGGGGGGGAGGCGGTGCTAGAGGGAGCGGTGGCGGGGGTGCTGGTGGGAGTGGGGCCGGCGGCGGAGGCGGGGGCGGCGGAGGGAGCGGTGGCGGTGGTGGCAGCGGCGGCGGTGGCGGCGGTGGCGGTAGCGGCGGTGGCGGTGGCGGCGGTGGCGGTCGGAGCGGAGGTAGTGGCGGCGGTGGAGGTCGGAGTGGAGGCACCGGCTCGGGCCAGAGCTCCCAGCAGCAGCAGCGTCCCCAGACGACCCAGCAGCTTCGTGAGTGGCTTGCTCAGCGTGGGACGTCGGGGGGCAGTGGCCGCTGTTCTTATGTCATTCGCACAGGTGACCGCAAGGGACAGACGTGTGGGAGGTTCCACACCCCGTACCGCTGCTTCTCCCGCCTTGACGACGCTTGGCGTGAGGAGATGGGTGCGGATGTTGAGCGCCCCCGCTGGGCTGAGCTCATGAGGGCTGGTGTTGATGTCTTTGCTCTTGACTTTGATGCTATTATTGCTGCCATGTATGCATTGACTGTTAGTGCCGAGGGAGACTGTTACTTGTGTGTGCCGCCTGACCCAGGTATAGAGCCCGCTGCCCTGGGTACTAGTGAGTCTGCTCTCTCTGGTATGGTGCCCCCTGTACTTGCTCCCTCCAGTGCTGTCCCGGCTGTTTTCGAGTCTGCTCTCTCAGGTACAGCACCCACAGAGACTGCTCTCTCAGGTACCGCACCGGCTGAGGCCTGTCACACCTTCACCCTTGACTCAGGTGCTTCCCGTTGCTTCTTTCGTGACAGTACTGAGCTCACACCGCTTCCTGCACCGGTCCCAGTCTCCTTGGCTGACCCCTCTGGGGGCCCAGTCCTTGCCCAGTCCACCACTGTCCTCCCTTGTCCGGCGGCTCCGTCTGGCTCGTTGTCGGGTTTCCACCTCCCCTCGTTCTCGACGAACCTGGTGAGCAACGCTGTCATCCAGGATCAGTGGGTTGACACCTTTACCCCTGGAGGACAGCGTGTGGCGATCTGCACGTGCTCCAGGACCGGCCGTCACCTGGCTACGTTTACCCGTCGGCCGGGGTCGAGTCTCTACACACTGACCACTGCGTCTCCTCAGGTCGCTGCTGTCGGTCAGGTGTCTGCGTCAGGTCTGGTAGCCCACGCCTGTGAGTGTCGTTCCCTGTCGCACCAGACTCTTCTCTGGCACCACCGCCTTGGTCACCCCTCCTTGCCACGCCTTCGTGGCATGCACCGTCGCCACCTTGTGTCTGGTCTTCCCAGGTCCCTCCCTCCCCTCCCTGCCTCGCCTGCGCCGCCTTGCCTTCCTTGCGTCGAGGGGCGGCAGCGCGCCGCTCCTCACTCCTCCTCGTTCCCCCCGACAGAGGCTCCTCTGCAGACCCTCCACCTGGACGTGTGGGGCCCAGCCCGCGTTCGTGGTCAGGGCGGTGAGCGGTACTTTTTGCTGGTTGTCGACGACTACTCGCGTTACACCACGGTCTTCCCCTTGCGCACCAAGGGTGAGGTTCCTGCTGTTCTGATCCCTTGGATCCGCACAGTTCGTCTCCAGCTCCGCCGCCGTTTCCGGACGGATCTTCCTCTCCTGCGTCTGCACTCTGACAGAGGTGGTGAGTTCTCCTCCGATCTCTTGAGGACCTTCTGTCAGGCGGAGGGCATCGAGCAGACCTTCACGCTTCCGGACTCCCCACAGCAGAATGGGGTTGCTGAGCGCCGCATTGGCCTGGTCATGGAGGTCGCTCGTACCTCCTTGGTCCACGCGGCGGCTCCCCATTTTCTGTGGCCGTTTGCTGTCCGGTACGCCGCGCATCAGCTCAACCTCTGGCCCCGTGTCTCCTTGCCGGAGACCTCGCCCACACTGCGTTGGACGGGGGAGGTTGGCGATGCGTCGCGCTTCCGGGTGTGGGGTGCTCGTGCCCTTGTCCGCGATACGTCCGCGGACAAGCTCTCCTCCCGCACGCTTCCCTGTGTCTTCCTTGGCTTTGTCCCTGACGCGCCTGGCTGGCAGTTTTACCACCCCACCTCGCGCCGGGTCTTCGCCTCTCAGGATGTCACCTTTGACGAGTCGGTCCCTTTTTACCGTCTCTTCCCCTACCGCACTGCCCCCCTCCCTCCCCCGCCGCTTTTCCTTGCTCCTGGTCCCCCTCCGGTAGACCCCCTTCCCCCTCAGGGTCCTGCTCCTTCAGGTGTCTCTCAGGTAGACCCTCCTCCCGTCGCTGAGCCTGTCGAGGTCACAGGTGACTCAGGTGCTGCTGCAGGTGGTACTGCTGGGAGTGCTGAGCCTGGGGGTGCTGAGCCTGCGGGTGCTGGGCCTGGGAGTGCTGGGACTGCGGGTGCTGGAGCTGAGGGTACTGTGCCTGAGAGTTTGCCGCCTGGGGGTGCTGAGCCTGGGGGTGCTGCGACTGGGGGTGCTGAGCCTGCGTGTGCGGAGTCTGGGGGTACTGAGTCTGGGGGTGCTGAGCCTGCGGGTACTGAGCCTGCGGGTACTGAGCCTGGGGGTGCTGCTACTGAGCCTACGGAGCCTCGGGTTACTGCGTCTGGGGGTGCTCCGGTTCGGGGTGCTGAGCAGTCTCTCACACCGCAGCAGCTTCGTGACTGGTACGTCCGGCGCTTTCGCCGTCCTAGTGGCTCGGCTGGAGTTGGGGGTGCTGGGGCTGCTCGTCCTGGGGGTGCTCGTACTGGGGGTACTGGAGCTGCCGGGACTGGTTGTTCTGGGAGCACTGCGACTGGAGCTGCTGGAGCTGGGGACTCTGGCGCTGGCGGTGCTAGCGGAGTTGGAGCTGCCGACTCTGGGGGTGGCGCTGCTGCTGGTGCTGCGGACCCGCCTGGTGGAGCTGCTGCTGGAGCTGAGGACCTGAGCGGTGGCGCTGCTGCTGGTGCTGGGGACCCGGACGTTGGAGCTCCTGCTGGTCCTGAGGACCCGGCCGCTGGAGTCTCTTCTGCTTCTGGAGACGCTGCGCGGCCGCGACCGTACTTCGTACCGCTCCTTCAGCAGGTTCTTGGGCAGGCTCCTCCTCCTTGTCCTCCTCCCTCCGTAGAGTGTCCTCCGCCTGTCCAGCCGCAGTCACAGTTACCGCCTGCCTCGCCTCTCCCTGCTCCCTCTCCTTATACTGGTCCCACAGGAGGTCTTACAGAGCGTCGTGAGCCTGAGTCTCGTCCTGCGTCGCCTGTTCGTCCTGCTCGCGCTGGTAGTCGTGTCCGTCGTGAGCGTCCTCCTCCTGTCCCAGGCACTCACTACATGACTCTGCGTCCCTCTACTGCTCCTCGGCGTGTCCCTCTGCTGTCTCCTCCTGCGTCCTCTTTGCCTGCCGTTCCGGACCCTGAGTCTGACCGGTATCGCGCTGAGCACCCTACAGTCACGCGTCTCCTAGCTACTGTTGTCACTGACCCTACCTTTGAGTCCTCGGCTGCGTCTGCTCTGGTCGCTGAGTTGGTTGACTTTGCTGCTGCCTGTCGTCTAGACTACGCTGCTAGCCTTGTTGCTGAGCCTGAGTCTGCGTCTGTCTGTCCTCCGTCCGTCGGGGGTGCGTGTGCTCTTGGCACGGACGTCCTTGAGGACAGACAGGAGGACCTTGACTCTCTTGCGGCTGCTGTACCTCATCTCGTGGCCTGGTTGCTTGCCCCTGAGGGAGACCCGGATGCACTAGACATCCCCACTCCGCGCACTTACGCAGAGGCGATCTCGGGTCCCTACTCCTCTCAGTGGCAGACAGCCATGGACGCAGAGATGGCATCCTGGAAGTCCACAGGCACCTACGTCGACGAGGTTCCCCCTCCTGGGGCGAACATCGTCGATGGCATGTGGATTTTCAGGGTGAAGCGGCCGCCAGGTTCTCCGCCTGTCTTCAAGGCTCGTTACGTTGCTAGAGGCTTCAGTCAGCGTCAGGGGGTCGACTTCTTCCAGACCTTCTCCCCCACCCCGAAGATGACCACTCTTCGGGTTCTGCTGCACGTTGCTGCTCAGCGTGACTACGAGCTTCACTCTCTTGACTTCAGCACAGCGTTCCTGCAGGGCAGCCTGCACGAGGAGATCTGGCTGCGCCGCCCACCTGGCTTTACTGGGTCGTTTCCTCCTGGTACCCAGTGGAGCCTCCGCCGGCCAGTCTACGGTCTCCGCCAGGCGCCACGAGAGTGGCACGACACACTTGCGGCTCTTGGGTTCGCGCCGTCTACTGCTGACCCGTCGCTGTTTCTGCGCACAGACACGTCGCTGCCGCCGTTCTACATTCTTGTGTACGTCGACGACTTGGTCTTTGCTACTGCTGACACTGAGGCACTCGCTCGTGTGAAGTCGGAGCTGCAGAAGAGACACACCTGCACTGACCTGGGTGAACTGCGTAGCTACCTTGGCTTGCAGATCACCCGGGACAGAGCTCGCCGCACCATCACCCTGACTCAGTCACACATGGTGCAGCAGGTCCTTCAGCGCTTCGGCTTCCAGTTCTCCTCACCACAGGCCACACCTCTGGCTACCAGCCACTCGCTCTCAGCTCCACCTTCGGACGAGTCCGTAGAGCCGAGTGGCCCGTACCCAGAGCTTGTAGGCTGCCTCATGTACCTGATGACTTGCACGCGACCTGACCTCGCGTACCCTCTTAGCTCGTTACGTTGCGCCTGGGAGACACAGGCGAGAGCACTGGGAGGCGGCTAAGAGGGTGCTGCGTTACTTGTGCAGTACATCAGGCATGGGGCTGGTGCTTGGAGGACGCGACAGAGTTGTCCTCACTGGTCACTCGGACGCTTCTTGGGTGGACGACCTGGCTACGCAGCGGTCGTCACAGGGTTACACCTTCAGCCTTGGCTCTGGTTCTGTCTCGTGGCGGTCCACCCGCTCTTCCTCTATTCTCGGCTCTAGTTGTGAGGCTGAGATCTACGCCACAGCCATGGCTGCACAGGAGTTACGCTGGCTCACCTACCTGCTGACTGACTTGGGAGAGCGGCCTAGTTCTCCTCCAGTTCTGTACGGTGACAACAAGGCGGCTCTTGCCTTGTGTCAGGAGCACAGACTGGAGCACAGGACGAAGCACATTGCTCTTCGCTACTTTCTTGCTCGAGAGCTTCAGCAGCGCGGTCAGCTTCGGCTTGTGTACGTGGACTCGAAGGCCAACACTGCTGATATCTTCACCAAGGCGCTCCCGCCTAGTGATCATCAGCGGCACTGTACTTCTTTAGGCCTTGTGTCCACGTTTCCTCACTTGCTCACTGCTTGACATTCTTTGTACTGTACTTTATATATATCTTGTTGCTTGCTTGCTAGGTTTTGATCACTGTGTTGCTTGTCTTATACTATATCTAGCACTGCATGTGAACTGGCCTTGTGGCCTTTGCTTGTGCTCGGAGTGTGGTGACGTTGTGATCCACCCTGGGCTTTGCTTTGCTTTGCTTTGCTGGACTGGTCTTGTGACCCTTTGTTCTCCCCCACTTTGCCTATGGGGGTGTGTTAAACTGTAGTATGCTTGTAGGCTGTAGTGGGGTAGCCAATATGGGGTACAACCCCAACTAGGGTTTCATATTTGTACCCAAACTTCTGCTAGTTCATTCATTCTTGGCTAGTTATTCTGACACAAGTACCTACCCCTAAGAGGGTTGTACCATATATGGGCTACCCCACTGTAGCCTTCATACATATAAATTAGTTTTGACAGACCCCCATAGGTAAAGTGGGGGATAACAAAAACAAGCTCAGGGTGGATCACAAAGTCACCACACAGTCCGAGCACAAGCAAATGGTCACAAGACCAGTTCACATGCAGAGTTATAAAGAGCACATGTAGTACAGTGATCACAACCTAGCAAGAGTAAGCATGCAGGCATATATATAAAGATCACTGTACAAGGCAAAGTCAAGCAGTAAGCAAGTGAGGCAGAGTAGGCACAAGGCCTAGAGCAATGGAGAAACGCTGATGATCACCAGACACAAGTGCCTTGGTGAAAATATCAGCAGTGTTGGCCCACATGGCCACGTAAGCAAGACAAAGCTGACCACGCTGCTGCAACTCTCGTGCGAGGAAGTAACGCAGGGTGATATGCTTCGTTTTGTGCTCCAGTCTGTGCTCCTGACACAAGGCAATCATGGCCTTGTTGTCGACGTACAGAACCGGAGGAGAACGAGGCCGCTCTCCCAAGTCGGTAAGTAGGTAGGTCAGCCAGCGTAACTCCTGTGCAGCCATGGCCCCTGCATAGATCTCAGCCTCACAACTGGAGCTGAGAACAGAAGACGAACGGGTACCTCCAGGAAACTGAACCGGAGTCAAGGCTGAAGGTGTAACCCTGTGATGACCGTTGAGTCGCCTGGTCGTCCGCCCAAGAAGCGTCTGAGTGACCAGTGAGGACAACTGGACCCTGTCCTCCAAGCACAAGCCCCATGCCTGATGTACTGCACAAGTAACGCAGTGCCCTTTGAGCAGTTGTCTAGTGCTCCTTCCGGTGTCTCCTGGGTGCAACGAAGCGAGCAAGGATGCTGAGAGGGTACGCGAGGTCAGGTCGTGTGCACGTCATCAGGTACATGAGGCAGCCTACAAGCTCTGGATACTGACCACTCGGCTCTACGGACTCGTCCAAAGGTGGAGCTGAGAGCGAGTCTTTCGTAGGCAGAGGAGTGGGCTGTGGCGAGGAGAACTGAAAGCCGAAGCGCTGAAGGACCTGATGCACCATGTGTGATTGAATAAGAGTGATGGTGCGCCGTGCTCTGTCCCGGGTGATCTGCAAGCCAAGATAGCTGCGCAGCTCACCCAGGTCAGTGCAAGTGTGTCTCTTCTGCAGCTCCGCCTTCACTAGGGCCAGTGCCTCAGTGTACACGAGGATGTAGAATGGCGGCAGCGAAGTGTCAGTGCGCAGAAACAGTGACGGGTCAGCAGTCGAAGGAGCAAACCCAAGAGCCGCAAGTGTCATCCTCAGTGTGTCGTGCCACTCGCGGGGCGCCTGGCGGAGACCGTAGATTGGCCGCCGGAGGCTCCACTAGGTAACCTGAGGAAACGACCTAGTGAAGCTAGGTGGACGGCGTAACCAGATCTCCTTGTGTATGCTGCCCTCTCTGCAAGAAAGTTGTGCTGAAGTCAAGCGAGTGGAGCTCGTAGTCACGCTGTGCTGCAACGTGCAGTAACACCGAAGAGTGGTCATCTTCGGGGTGGGGGAGAAGGTCTAGAAGAAGTCGACCCCCTGTTGCTGACTGAAGCCTCGTGCAACGTAACACGCATTGAAGACAGGCGGAGAACCCGGCGGCCGCTTCACCCTGAAAATCCACATGCCGTCGACTATGTTCGCCCCAGGTGGGGGAACTGCGTCGACGTAAGTGCCTATGGACTTCCAGGATGCCATCTCTGTGTCCATGGCTGTCTGCCACTGAGAGGAGTAAGGACCCGTGATTGCCTCTATGTAAGAGCGCGGGGTCGGGATGTCTAGTGCATCCGGGTCTCCCTCAGGGGCAAGCAGCATGGCAGCGAGATGAGGTACAGCAGCCGCAAGACACTCGAGCTCAAACTGCCTGTCCTCAAGGACGTCCGTGCCAAGGGCACACTCACCCCCGACGGACGGAGGACAGTCAGACTCAGACTCAGTGACAAGACTCGCGACGTAGTCGAGACGACACGCAGCAGCAAAGTCAACAAGCTCAGTGACTAAGGCAGACGCAGCAGCAGACTCAAAAGTAGGGTCAGTGAGAAGAGTGGCGAGAGCACGCGTGACAGTGGGACTAGCAGCACGAGCACGGTCAAACTCAGGGTCAGGAACGTTAGGAAGAGAGGACGCAGGAGGAGACGGCAGGGGGACACGCTGTGGAACAGAGGAAGGACGAAGTGCCATAGTGTGAGTGACGGGAACAGGAGGAGGACGCGGACGAGGAACACGACGACCAGTGCGAACAGCGCGAACAGGCGAGGCAGGACGAGACGCAGGCTCACGACGCTCTGTAAGCGAGTCTGTTTGCTCAGTGTAAGGACAAGGAGCAGGCAGCGGGGAGTCTGGCTGTGCGGTTGTGACTGGTCAGGCGGTGGACACAGTAAGGGAGGAGTAAGGCCAGTAGAAGACAGAAGACTAAGAACATGGCGAAGTGCCGAGCCAGGTGGTGGTAGAGACGATGGTGGGGCCGGAACGAAAAACGAACGCCGCTGTGCAGTACCCCCAGTACTAGCACCTCCATTGCCTCCAGCGCCAGTACCCACAGCTCCAATGTCTCTTGTGCCAGCACCTCTAGCTCCAGCAGCACCAGAACCTCCAGCTCCAGTGTCTCCAGCACCAGGACCTACAGCTCCAACGTCTCCAGCGCCAGCACCTCCAGCTCAAGTAGCTCCAGAATCTCCAACTCCAGTGGCTCCAGCACCAGTACCTACAGCTCCAATGGCGCCAACGCCAGCACCTTCAGCTCCAGTAGCACCAGAACCTCCAGCTCCAGTGTCACCAGCACCAGTACCTCCAGCTCCAGCAGCTCCAGAAACTACAGCTCCAGTGCCTCCAGCACCAGGACCTCCATTACCGGTACGCGAGCGGCACCGCAGAAGAAACCACTCACGAAGCTGCTGTGGCGAGGGAGTCTCCTACCGACGAGATTGCCGCTGCTGTCCGTCCTCAGAGCCACGAGCAGTGGTACCAACGACCCCACTGCCACCAGGACGCTCAGCACTCCTAGAACCAGTACCTACAGCTCCAGTGCCTCCAGCACGAGTACCTCCAGCTCCAGTGCCACCAGCACTACTATCTCCAGCACCCCCAGCTCCAGTACCGACAGCTCCGGGGTCTCCAGCTCCAGTGCCTCCAGCTCCAGTGCCTCCAGCTCCAGTGCCTCCAGCTCCAGTGCCTCCAGCACTAGCAGCTCCAGCAACTCCAGCTCCAGTACCGACAGCTCCAGGGTCTCCAACTCCAGTGCCTCTAACTCTAGTACCTCCAGCTCCAGTGCCTCCAGCACTAGTACCTCCAGCTCCAGCGCCTTCAGCACCTCTAGCTCCACGACTAGAGCGGGAGCGCCGAAGAAGCCACTCGCGAAGCTGTTGCGGCAAGAGAGCCTCCGGCTGACGAGACTGCTGCGGCCGGCCACCCCCAGAACCTCCGGGAGAAGCAACGACGACTCTACCACCACTAAGATGCTCAACGCCCCCAGAACCAACACCCCTCAGAACCAGCACCCCCAGACTCAGCACTCCCAGCAGCAGCACCCCCAGAACCAGCACCCCCAGCGTCGCCACCCGCACCGCCCGCACCCCCAGTGGCACCACTCCGAGCAGCACCGGAATCGACAGCAGTAGGCTGCAGAGGCGGCGAAGACGGCCGAGGTGGAAAATCAGGAGGGGTCGCCAAGCGCAGGGAGCTGCGAGTGGCCACTGTGTCGTCAGCAGCAACGTCACCCCCCTCAGCTGGGCCAGAGGTGTCAGAAGTGACCTCCAAAGGCTCAACCAAGGGGGGTGGGTCTACCTGAGACACACCTGAGGGAGCAGGACCCTGAGGGGGGAGGGGGTCTACTGGGGGGGACCTGGAGCGAGGAAGAGCGGCGAGGGGGGGGGAGCGGGGAAGTGCGGTAAAGAAAGAGATGGTAGAAGGAAACCGCGGCGCGAGGTTGGGTGGTAAAACTGCCAGCCAGGCGCGTCAGTGGGAAAGCCAAGGAAGACGCAGGGAATGGCGCGAGCAGAGAGCTTGTCCACGGAGGTATCGCGAACAAGGGCA